TATATATATATATATATATATATATATATACGTATATAAATATAAATTTGTGCACTTCTAAACCATTTTATGTATTTTATTTGGGCTGGGATTTCTTTATTTCCACAAATAGTTCAGCGTGGGTATTCCCTCTTTACCCTGCTGGACTTCCCAGTATGGGACAGTGCTGTCCTGATGCCCCAAACAGGCCTATGGGCCACCAGCACTAAAAAGCATATGGAAATTCATCCTGATCAGCAGGATTTTCATAGTGAAGGCAGGGGGGATTCAATTGAATATTACTTCTGTACCCATCCACAACTTTGTGTAATAACTGATTTTATACTGCGCTTGGAAATTGTGCCCAAAAGTGGAAAAAAGGCCTAAAATGTGAAACAGTATACAGATGTATTCAAGATGTTGGTAGCCTTTCAAACCCTGAGGGGTGCAGTTCTGTCTCCATTACTGAATGCAACCTAACTAATGTAATTCTAGGCTGCATTTCCACATAGTATTTATTACCTCACTTTTGTTCTTACCTGAGAAAAACACTCAGATGACCACACAGTACAACACACAACATGCTGCATTTGAATTGAAAGAGCATGCCGATCTGTTCATCAGAACTGATCCAGAAACTTTTGACAACAAGGAATGTTCAACCTGTTTTGGCCTCAGGCAGCATAATTGAGAACACATGCTGTTTGAAAAACAACGGCTTTAAAGACATGCTTCATCATTATAATGATATATGAAACACTTGAGTGTTTTCAAGTGGAGCTGTACGAGCAGAGGGTGAAATCTCACGTATGCGGGAGAAATCACATCTTAGACTCATCATTAGGCTTTAGACTGCATGATTATAATTGGGAAAAAAAGTCAACAAAGCATAGTATTTCTCTAGCATTAACAGCTGTAGTTTTGTCCTTTAAAGGAATAGTTCACACAAAATTAAACTGATGGAAGTTTACTCTCAGGCCATACAAGATGTAGATTAGTTTGTTTCTTCATCAGATTAGATTTGGAGAAGATT